ACTCCGCTAGGACCCCTTCAATTCCAGCACTGATTGGGGAATGATGTGCCATCTACGCGGTGCATCTAATGAACCTATGTTCGCAGCGAACTGTAACTGCTCGCGCAATCATCCCACCCACCCGCCCGCAACTTGGTTTCCAGAACCCACGCGGCGGCGATTGCGAGGGCTGTTTGACGCTGGCGGGGGCATCGCTGCGGCCGCGCTAGCGCGCACAGGCTCGCGCGCGCGCTGACGCGCGGGCACTTCAGCGCGAGTCCGTGACTCCTACGGGTACGGTATCATGACGACGTTGACAACGGCAGTCACGGTGATGGTAGCAGCGATGCGAGTGACGACGATGACAATGACAACGGCAAGCAAATTACGGCGCCGATGCTGATCACGCCGATGACGATGATGGTGCCCACGCGTCGGTGATGACAGTTTTGGAAAGATTTCGACATGCGCGCTCGGCCGACGGGCGCGAGAAGCCCGCATGGTGTTTTTTGACAGGCATCGTGCACCCCCAGCACGCACGCAAGGGCATTCGAATGATTGAGAGAGCGTGATCCACCGCCGCTTTGCGGTGGAACCTTCACACCCTCTTCCTCCAGAGCCCGGGGGTCCGCCCCCCCATCACTCCGAAAATCCACCCCCTCTTTGATCGAACCCCTCCCCATCATCCCGCGGCAAAAATGCCCCCCCACAACCCACCCCCTTCACCCTTTTCCGAAAAAACGGGGGGAGGGTCACTAGCGGTTCGAACCCCCGCCCCCCCCCCCCCCTCCGCCGCCAGCAAACGACTCCGGGGTCCCCTCGCCAGTCCCCACCACCACCGTCCCCACCACTGTCCCACTGTCCCACTGTCCTCACCACTGTCCCACAATCCCCACTGTTCCCACCACTGTCCCCATCAGTGTCCCACTGTCCCCTCACCATTGTCTTCACCACCACCGTCCTCACTACTGTCCCACTGCCACTGTCCCACCGTCCCCTCGCCACTGTCCCCACCACCACCATCCTCACTACTGTCCCACTGCCACTGTCCCACCGTCCCCTCGCCACTGTCCCTATCACCACCGTCCCCACCACTGTCTCACTGTCCCCACTGTCCCCACCACTGTCCCTTCTGTCCCCGCTGTTCCCACCACTGTCCCCACTGTCCCCACCAGTGCCCCCACCACTGTCGCACTGTCCCCACTGTCCCCACCACGGTCCCAATCTCCCTTCTGTCCCCACTCTCCCCACTGTCCCCGCCACTGTTCCACTGTCCCCAGTGTCCCCACCGCTGTCTCATTATCCCCAATGTCGCCACCACTGTTCCCACTGTCCCCACCGCCCCCACCATTCTCCCCACTGTACCAGTGTCCGACCACTGTCCTCACCACCGCCCTCACTCTCCCCACTGTCCCCACCACTGTTCCACTGTCCCCACTGTCCCCACCGCTGTCCCATTGTCCCCAATGTCGCCACCGCTGTTCCCACTGTCCCCCCGCCACTGCCCCCACCACCACTGTCCCCACTCTCCCCGCTGTTCCCACTGTCCCCACCACTGTCCCACTGTCCCCACTCTTCCCACCACTGTCCCCACGGTCCCCGCCAGTGCCCCCACTACTGTCGCACTGTCACCACCGTCCCCACCACTGTACCCACCACGGTCCCACTTTTCCCGCTGTCCACACGACTGTCTCACTGTCCCCACTCCGCACCACCCTCCCGGCCACTGTCCCAACCACTGTCCCCACCACAATCACCCATCCAGAGTGGGGGAGGTTTGCCGGCGGCGAGGAGGGGGGGGAGGGGGGTTCGAACCCTTAGTGGACCACCCCCCTTTTCGTGATGGACGGAGGGGAGGGGGGGGGACCCCCAGTGACCACCCCGGTTTTCGAGGGGGTGGGGGGAAACCCCAGTGACCCCTCCCAGTTTTCTGCCAGCAGCGGCAGAACACGCTCTTTCGGATGATTCGAACGTGCTCGCGAGCGAGCCCCGTTTGGTCGCATGCGACGAAAATGCTGAAACACATAACCTAGGCTTTTCTTGAAAACTGATGTTTAAACATTATGTGTTTGTTGCATGATCATGTGATCCATGCGAAACGTAAGGTTGTTCAAGGATTTCGGCATGCGCGCGCGACGACGCGCGCGCGTGCACTCCGTCCAATTTGTTGCAAGGGTTATTGAAAGTGATGATTTTGATGCACGAATGCGCGCGGATAGGATGTGTTGCAAAGGATGAAGGGGGGGGTGTCGGTACCGGCCTGGCTGGGATGCTGTGGTGGTATGATACCATATCTACAGCGATCGATGGGGCAAAATCCAATGAAACGTGCACATCCCCAGGGTGGGCAGTTCATCAGGGGGGTAGATCTTGGCTCTTGTCTAGAAAGGAGAACGTATGCGGTGCAATCGACGTTGTGAAATTTAGGCGGCGACACGGCACCGACGGTAGCAACCTAGAGGCCAGGAGGAGGAGGAGGAGGAGGAGGAGGAGGAGGAGGAGGAGGAGGAGGAGGCGGAGGAGGAGGAGGAGGAGGACGAGGCGGCGACGGGGCGGCAACGGCGACAACATGGCCGCCAGAAGGCTGACATCCAGGCCCAGGCGACGGGCGGCGACGAGGCGGCGACGGACGGGGCAGCGGCGGCAACGTAGCCGCCAGACCGATGTTCGGGCCCAGGCGGCGGGCGGCGACGAGGCAGCGACGGGCCGCCGACAGCGACAGCAGATTCGCCACATCGACACATTGAGGCCCAGTTATTTCAACCCGTGTTGCCACGAGCCCCGACCTTGAAATGCAGGTGGGGATAAAACCAAAGAATTTTGACTCGTGGGGCTCTCCTGTGAGGCCTCTTGGAGGCCTCCTGGACCATCTGGGGAGCTCCCTGGGCCGCTTGGGCCGATCCGTCGGCGACTCGAGGCCCTCTTGGACCATCTTGTGGACCATCTTGGGGCCGTCCGTGCCTCCGGGGGGCTTCCTGGGGGGGCTATGTGGGGATATGAAAGGTGGCTTGGGGTTCCTGCGCCAAAGGTGTCCAGAGGGAAAGGTGGCGAAAGAGACGACGGTGCGTCTTGGAGGTGAGCTCGGCACGCGACCACGCGAGTCCGGAGGCGAGCTCGGCACGTTTGCATGCGAGCCCAGCAGAGGATGGCTAGTACGCGGATTACATGGGTTCCCGTGTTGTCCGTTTGCCGCTGTGACGCTGTGCCAAGGCGCCTCCAGCCGTCCTGGGGCTTTGTTGGGGCAGTCCTGGGGCCCTCTTGGGCGCTCCTGGGGGCTCCCTGGAGGCCTCTTGAGGCTTCTTGGGGCTCCTTGGGGGCCTCATGGGCGCCTCTTGGGGCCTCTTGAAGGTTCCTGGGGCAGAGAACCCTGAAAATGGGCCGCTGTCTTGCGCTCTTGGGGCGTCCCTGGGGCTCTTCTGAGACCGTCTTGGAGGCCTCTTGGGTCGTCTTGAGGGCCTATTCGGCCGTCTGGGCGCTCTCTTGGGGGTCTCTCAGGGCGTTTTGGGGCGATCTTTGGGGCCTCTTGGGCTGTCTTGGAAAGGCGGGAAGCCGAAAAGACGAAAACCCCCCAAACCTTCAAATACCTAAGGAAAAGCTATGATTTTGGACGCTACGGGCTCTCCTGAAGGGCCTATTGGAGGTCTCTCGTGGCGTCTGTGGAGCTCCCTTGGTCGTCGGGACGCCATCCTGAGCGTCTTTTGCCGCTGTTTCGGCGACTGGAAGCCTTCTTGGTCCATCTTGTGGGCCATCTTGGGGCCGTCCGTGCCTCCTGGAAGAGCATCTGCAGAAATCGGGCCGTGAGCGGCCGTCGAGCGGCCGTCTTCCGCCGGCGTTCTGCCCGTGGCCGGGGCCATGCCCCGGGGGGTCCCCCCCAGACCCCCCCAGGGGGACACACAACGGGAACCCCTTCGCCAGGTCGGGGAAAAAAAATCAAGAACCCATGAGTGCAAGCACTGATTGACGTGGACCCTAGTATCACAAGTCGCGAAGAAAAGTCACGGCGGGAACTCTCGACCCGTCTTGACGCCTGCATTCTGAAGCCTAGGCCCAACACGGGTCGGAGAGGTCTGGCGTGACTTTTTGCTACAACGCTGGGATCTGCTGGTGTCGCGCAAGAATGGGGTATAGCGCGAGGGGGTGCCCTCTGAAAAGGCGGGGGGCTTCTTCGAAGGCAGGGGCCTTCTCAGAAGGTCCCTGAGGCCCTGAGGCTTCCAAGAAGCCTGCTTAAGGGGGACGACGACGACGACGACGACGACGACGACGACGGCGACGACGACGACGACGACGACGACGACGGCGGCGGCAACGGCGGCGGCGGCGGCGGCGACGACGGCGACGAAGTGGGGAGGGCTTCTATCAACAGGCGCCTGCCGTCCGAGGGGCTCCCCGTCCCCCCGCTCGAGGGCCGCCCCCCCCCGCGCGCCCCGCCGTGGGGCGCGCCGCCGTGGGGCGCGCATTGGTGGGGGGCGATGCACTAATTCGCCTCCTCCTCCTCCTCCTCCTCCTCCTCCTCCTCCTCCTCCTCCTCCTCCTCCTCCTCCTCCTCCTCCTCCTCCTCCTCCTCCTCCTCCTCCCCCTCCTCCTCCTCCTCCTCCTCCTCCCCCTCCTCCTCCCTCTTCCTCCTTCCTAAGCCAGAATAACATCCTCAAAAGCATGAGGCTCTCTCCATCGGCCAGAGCGCAGAGCATCCAGTAATTAGGCACGGAGAACACGAGAGTCTGCCCTCCCCGGGAATGCGCGAGAACGTCCAGCAGGCACGAAGAAGACCAGGGTACCCGCCCCGGACCGACCTCGATCGTCTACCTCGGTCCGACTGTACTGGGGCGGTGATAAAAACGGGGGGAGAGAGAGAGAGAGAGGGAGAGAGAGAGAGAGGTACCCTTTTCGGGCCCTGAAAGGCCCCCTTGGGGTACGGCCCAAGAGGTCCCCTTGGTCTGCAGCCCTCGTGCCCTCCCCACGTATCGCCCCCCCAGTACGTGCCCTCCGACGCCGATGTCTACGGGAAGACGCCGGGGACGAGCCTGCGGAGACAGCCAGCCGTAATAGACGCCGCCCGGGCCCGTGTTCTTGACGACCTGCCGGAGGGCGCCGAAACAGGACGCGCCGACAGCCGACACCCCAGCGGCCAGGAAGGGGGGCGTGTGCGTGCCACTGACTGCCTACCAGACCACCCCAACCCAACCCGAAGACCCGAATTTCGGGTTGGGGGGGGTAAGGGTTCCACGCGCGTTTTTTCGATGTTGCCCGACCCCCCCCCACTGGAAATCGACTGTAAATTCGAGCCTTCGGGTTGGGTTGGGGTGGTTTGGTGGGTGGTGAGCCACAGCCTGGCCTTCTGGCCATTCCCGCCCGTCGGAAGAGGGGGGCAGAGAAGTTCAGGAGGCCGCCGAGTTGGGAGGTCTTCCTCGGGAGGATCACGGGAAGATGAGGCCCCACTGGGGGGCTGCGACGCCGGCCTGCGCCTCGGAGCAAGCGGGATCGAGCCAGACGAAGCGGGAGGAAGCGGGATGAAGCGGGATCCGGCCAGACTTCGGACCAGGGCAGAGGCAGAAGCCGACCTCCCAGGAGCTGCGGCCGAAAGGTGGACACGCGAAGCGGGAGGAGGGCGCTGAAAGTGTCGCCTGCGCAGCCTGAGTATAGCCTTCTGGCGAAGCCCTCCGCGCCGCCGCGCTGGTCCCGGGCAGGCTGTGCTGCCCGGCGACGGGGGGAGAGGAGGGGGAGAAGCAGGCAGACGGCGCGGGACGCGCAGGCGGGAGGCCTGGGCCCGCGGGGCCACGGCCGCGGAGCCATCCGTCTGCCTGCGGCGCGGCGTGTGGCCTGTCGTGACCCGTCGGCGTGCCTCCGCCCGGTTTCGGCCGCGAGCGTCGACCCGTGCGCCCGGGGCTGCTTCTCTCTTCGCGGGGCGGTCCCTCCGAGGACCCACTCGCTGAGCACGGTCGGACCTGGGGCAGAAGGACGTCCCCTCCAAGAGCAGGAGGCCCTCCGCCGGCCAAAGCACCCGAGAGCAGCAGATCACGCGAGGGTGCCCTCCACGAGTACGCACAGGAGCATCCAGCAAGCACGAAGGACGGTAGGGTAGATACCCTCCCCGAACCGACCTCGATCTTCTACCTCGGTCCGACCGTAGTCCACTGGAGCCGGCTTGAGAAGGAAGCGGGGTGCCCTCCCCCAGGATGCATAGGAGCATCCAACCAACACGAAGGACATGAGGGGCACCCTCCCCGAACCGACCTCGATCTTATCCCTTGGCCCGAACGTGGTCAACTGGAGTCTGCCGAGCCCTTGTGGGTCTCCAGGCGTGTGAGATTGTCCCCCCCCCAGAATCCCCCCCAGGGACCCCAAACCGTGATTTTGACCCCCCCCCCCCCCGGCCCGGGACGGCCCGGACCGAACTCACCCGGGCGGTCTGGGCTCCCTGGGCTCGCTCTTGAGCTGCACGAAAGCAATTGACGCCTCCCAAGAAGCCGCCAAGACGGTCCACGAGAACCCAAAGTCGCCGAAAGATCGTTCCAAGACGCCCAAGATGAGCTCAAAACGGCCCAAGAGGCCGCCAAGACACCCCACGAAGCGTCCAAGAGGCATCCCAAGAAGCCCCCAAGAAACCCAAATCTTGAAATTCCCGTGGAAAACGTGCATTTTCAGCATATCCAACTTGTTAGCCTTCACGGCGTTGAAAACCGTCCACGAGGACCCCCACGAGGCCCCCAGGACCACTCCAAGACGGCCCACGAGGCCCCCAGGAGGCCCCAAAGACAACTCAAAAGAACTCCAACGTGGCCCAAGAGGCGCCCTAGGCCCAAGAGAGCTCCAAGACGGCCCCAAGAAGGGCCCAAGAGAGGGACCACGAACCGCGGAGGAGGATCCAAGAGAGCTCCGCCCAACGAAGCTCTCCGGAGGACCCAAGAGGCTCCCAAGCGGCCCCAAGAGGCCCCCATGAGGCACCCAAGAGGCCCCAAGGAGCCTCCAAGAGGCCCAAAAGAATCCCCCAAACGGCCCCCGAGACCCTTCGAAATCGCCTCGAGGAGGCCCGCGAGAATCCTCGCCAAGAGATCCCAACGGACGCAGTAGTCTATAGAGGGGTCGGCGGATGTGGCGTAAGCCTATAGAATCGACTGGAGGAGGGAGATCGGCTACACGCAAGAGTGACCCTGGGTAAGAGTGACCTTTGATCCGCGGCTTCCTGGGGGCCGCGGGGTCCAAACACAAGCCCTTCAGACGCTGCTATCGCATCGCGTTCGGCGATCGCGGGACCCCAGTGGGCCCGCACCAGAGGTCACTCCGACGAAGGGTCACTCTTACGTTGGACGCCCGAGATATCCGGGGTAACTCGGGTCCGGGGTAACTCGGGTTTGGGTTCCCGGAAAACAAACCCGAGTTAACCCTGACCCGAGTTACCCCTGATGATTCGGGGCTCTGGACGCCCGAAATATCCGGGGTAACTCGGGTCCGGGATAACTCGGGTTCGGAATCCCGAAAAGCGAACCCGAGTTAGCCCTGACCCGAGTTACCCCTGATGATTCGGGGCTCTGATTACGTGTAGTCGAGAAGAGGAGGGGGAGCAGCACCCATTGCGGCGATCCGAGTGACGCAAGCCGTGGGTGCCACCCCAGGGCCTGGGCCAGTGGGCCCGCACCAGAGGTCACTCCGATGAAGGGTCACTCTTACGTGTAGTCGAAAAGAGGAGGGGGAGCAGCACCCAGTGCGGCGATCCGAGCGACGCAAGCCGTGGGTGCCACCCCAGGGCCTGGGCCAGTGGGCCCGCACCAAAGGTCACTCCGATGAAGGGTCACTCTTACGTGTAGTCGAGAAGAGGAGGGGGAGCAGCACCCGGTGCGGCGATCCGAGTGACGCAAACCGTGGGTGCCACCCCAGGGCCTGGGCCAGTGGGCCCGCACCAGAGGTCACTCCGACGAAGGGTCACTCTTACGTGTAGTCGAGAAGAGGAGGGGGAGCAGCACCCAGTGCGGCGATCCGAGCGACGCAAGCCGTGGGTGCCACCCCAGGGCCTGGGCCAGTGGGCCCGCACCAGAGGTCACTCCGACGAAGGGCCACTCTTACGTGTAGTCGAGAAGAGGAGGGGGAGCAGCACCCGGTGCGGCGATCCGAGCGACGCAAGCCGTGGGTGCCACCCCAGGGCCTGGGCCAGTGGGCCCGCACCAGAGGTCACTCCGACGAAGGGTCACCCTTACGTGTAGTCGAGAAGAGGAGGGGGAGCAGCACCCAGTGCGGTGATCCGAGCGACGTAATCGGGGATGGACAGAACCCCCTTTAGTAAAACGTGGTTTAGTGAAAACGACCTGAGGCCCAAACCTGGCGGGCGCAAGCCTGGAAAATAACGGCCACGGCGCCCTCTCGAGAACCGAAAACGGACAATTCACTAATCGACGTGTCACTGTTGGGGGTTCTGTCCACCCCCGACGCAAGCCGTGGGTGCCACCCCAGGGCCTGGGCCCAGTCGTCGGGCAGCCAGTGGGCGCGCAGCCCGTCGACCAGCACGTTCGGGGGCAGCTGCTCGATCGGGAAGCCGCCCTTCAGCGGAGCCCCGGCGCGGTCCTCTCGGGCTCCTCATCCCTCCCTCCCTTGACCGTCCTCCTCCTCCTCCTCCTCCTCCTCCTCCTCCTCCTCCTCCTCCTCCTCCTCCTCTCCGTCCTCCTCCTCCTCCTCCTCCTCCTCCTCGTCCTTCTCTTCCTCCTCCTCCTCCTTGTCCTCATCATCATAATCGTCATCATCACCAGCATCCATCTTCAACACAAACCACGCGCACCATCTTCTTAACATGATCAGAATCAAAACCACAGCCATCATCACCATCCCCATCATCGGCATCATCAGCATCATCATCACCATCACCATCACCATCACCATCATCATCATCATCATCATCATCATCATCATCATCATCATCATCATCCTCATCATCATCATCATCATCATCATCATCATCATCAGCATCGCCATCATTATCACCACCACCACCACCCTTATTAACAGCAGCACCATCCGCATCACCACCATCAAAACCACCACTACCATATTATTCAACATCCTCATCATCAACAACATCCGCATCGTCGTCGATGGCGGCATAGTCATCGTCATCGTCATTAGGACCACCAGCACTATCATTATAATCATCAGCAGCAGTATCATTACCCCCATCAACAACGACAGCAGCATCATAAGCAACATCAACATGCGCTGCATCATCATCATCATCACCATCATCATCACCATCGCAGACACCACCATCAGCAGCATCGTCATCAACAGCATCACCATACTCCGCATCAGCTTCCGCATCAGCATCAGCATCAGCACCGTCATCACCAAAAGCATCATCCTTACCATCATCAGCAACAGTATCGTCGTCGTCGTCGTCATCGCCATCATCGCGATCATCGTCAGCACACCATCATCATCATCATCAGCATCATCATCATCAGAACCACCATTGCCATCATCAGCATCATAACCACCGCCACCATCATCATCAGCAACATCAGCATCATCATCAGCATCACGATCATCCGCATCGCCATAACCATCATCAGAAGCATCATAATCAGCATCATCAGCATCGAGTTCATCGTCATCATCATCAGCAGCAACATCATCAGCATCATCATTCTTTTCAGGTTCACCAGCATCAGCATCATCATTACATCACCACCATCATCATCATCATCATCATCATCATCATCATCATCATCCTCATCCTGTTAGGGGTGTAAAGGCATAGCCATAATTTAATCATGCTCGTGTGCGTGTGTGTGTGTGTGTTTGTTGTGTTCTTTTGTGTTGTTTGTGTTTTTTGTGTTTGTGTTGTGCTGTTTCCCACCGGACAGGTTGGGGTCGCTAAATGTTATAAACAAACCTCCCGGCCACTCCCACCCTGCATACCGCGGCCGCCAGACCCCAAGTTGTCCCGAGTGTCCCTGTTATCCCGCCTCGCGCCCTCGACAAACACGACAGAACACACCCTGCATACCGCGGCCGCCAGACCCCAAGTTGCCCCGAGCGTCCCGGTTATACCGCCTCGCGCCCTCGACAAACACAACAGAACACACCCTGCATACCGCGGCCGCAAGACCCCAAGTTGCCCCGAACGTCCCGGTTATCCCGCTTCGCGCCCTCGACAAACACAACTGAACACACCCTGCATACCGCGGCCGCCAGACCCCAAGTTGTTCTGGGAATCCCGGGTGTCCCGCCATGCGCGCTCGACAAACACGACAGAACACAGTAGGACACAACAGAACATGACAGATCAGAGCAAGAGCATGACAGAACATGACAGACCATACAATATCAATATCATGACAAAATAGAAGACCCCAGCATATCACAGAACATACCCGAGCAGAACATGACAGAACATATGTGTTTTGTGTTTTTTTCGTGCATGTGCCGCAACGGTCAGGACAGTCACGCAGGAGAAGTGAGGAGGGGAACTCTGCTACAAAAGCCTCGAAGTCCACCTCTGGGGCCAACCGAATGACGGAGAATGGGGGCAGGGAGTGGCTAAGGATAGAAAAGGGGGGCGAAGGATAAAAGCGAGAGGGGAACGCGAGCGGCGCACCGAGGAGCAGAAGCGGAGAGAAAGGAAGTTGTTCGGTTGATCATACCAAGAAAAGGGCGAGGTTGATGACGAATTTAAGGCTCTGACTTTGCACACAAAACTCCTCTTCCTCATCCTCATTATCCTCTTCATCAGCATCATCAGCATCATCATCGCTAACAGCATCAGTCTCTTCATGAGCATGCGTGCATCATCATCATCATCATCATCACCATCATCATCAGCATCATCAGCATCATCAGCATCATCATCACCATCATCACCATCACATTAACCATCACCATCACCATCACCATCATCATCACCATCATCATCATCATCGTCCTCCTCCTCCTCATCATCACCACCACCACCACCTCCACCACCACAACCACCACGACCACCACGACCACCACCACCACCACCACCACCACCTTCACCATCATCATCATCATCATCATCATCATCATCATCATCATCATCATCATCATCATCATCATCGTCATCATCATCATCATCATCATCAGCATCATCATCATCATCATCATCATCATCATCATCATCATCATCATTCCCTCTCCACCCTTCCCATACCTCCTCCACACACCCGCCGAATACCCATCCTCGAGAGGAGGCAGACGGAAGGAAGCGGAGGGAGAAGCGCGGAGGCACAGGGAGGGACGAGCAGGGGGGACGAGGCAGGAGGAGGAGGGGCAGCGTGAGAAGGCCAGGCGGGAGACGGGAGGGGGGGGGAACGAGCAGCAGCGAGGCACGGGAGCAGGGAGCCGCATGACCGGGAGCAGGACGGCTGGGCGGAGGGAGGAGGGGAAGGAGGAAGGAGGGAGGGACGAAGGGATGAGGAGGAGGGGGAAAGAGGGAGGGAGGGGGAAGACAGGAGGGAGAAGGGAGGAGGAGGAGGAGGAGGAGGAGGAGGAGGAAGAGGAGGAGGGGAGGGAGGAGGGAGAAGGGAGTAGAAGGAGGGAGGCGGGAGGAGGCAGGAGGGAGGAGGGAGAAGGAGGGAGAAGGGAGGAGAAGGAGGAGCGGGAGGAGGGAGGAGGGAGGACGAGAAGGGAGGAGGGAGGAGGATGACGAGGGACGAGGATGACACCGATCGCCAGCCCTTCCTTCGGCGCCGGGGCGGTGGACCCGAGGACGCCGCACCTCGCGACGACCGCCTTGTAAGCCGGGGAATTCTTGATGCCTCCTCGCGTCGGCTTGCAGAAACGCAGAACACAACGGGGATCCGGGCTGGAGGAAGTGCTGGTTTTAGGTCGGGCTTGTCCCCCTACAGGCGGATTGCGAAGGACAAATAAAACATAGCCAAACAAAAATACACCCACAATATAAAAAATACCCCCAAAGTCGTCCCCTGGCAATTTCTTAAGCTAGGTTTGAATCTTCCCCCTGTGGAGGGACGTGCCCGACTTCATGCTCGTTGGTTCCTGGAGGTTCTCTCCCCGCGGAACACTCTCGAGAGCTGACTCTCGGGGTGCCCGCACGGACGCCACAGCTCCGAAGCATGATCCGAGAACCACCAGGCGTCACTTTTTTTACAAGCGCGAAGGAAGCCCTGTGGCACAGAGGAGGCGGGGGAGGGGAGGGGAAGGGAGGGGGGGTCCTCCCAGGGAGGAGGAGGGGGAGGGGAGGGGAAGGGAGGAGGGGGAGGGGAGGGGAGGGAAAAGGGAAAAGGGAACCGAGAACCACCAGGCGTCACAGAACGAAGGCTTTTCGCCTCTTGCGTTAGGTCGGGCGTGTCCTCCCACAGGCGGATCTTGGACGAAGAATGAATATTAGTCAACAAATATCCAAAACGAATCAACCAATCATCCCCTGACTATTTCTGATTATTTTTGAGTGCTTGTTCTGGAAATTCCTCCTGTAGAGGGACAAGCCCGACTTCACCTTTGCGGCCTCAGGAGGCCCTCGCCGGGCTCTGGGGCCGTCAGGAAACAACTCGAGACGAAGAGCCAGCCCTGGGAATCTGGTCGGAACTTCCGGCGACCCCGTGCAAGAAAATGATCCGGATTGCGGATCTCCCGGAGAGCCGGCTCCTCCGTCACCCCCCCCGACTTCGGATCCACCGTACTTTCTGGGCGATAGGGCGGAACGTTCCGCCCCCCTTCTCAAGCTGCTTCGATGCCAGCTTCCGCCATGCTTTGCCGGCGCTGTTTCCGCCATGCCTTTGCGGGACTATCCACCCTACTTTCCTGGACCAGAAAACAAACGACACCACCACACCTACGGCCCCCTGGGGCTTGGGGCTTAGCGTGTACCAGGAGATCTGGAGTGGACTTTTGCGTGGTGTACGCTACGGCGCCCGATGGGCCGTAGCGCAACATGGAGGGCAAGAAGTGGAGTGGTGTCGTGTGTTTTTTAGTCGATTGTATGAGGCGGAGTCTCCCCCCCGACCTCTCGGCACACGCGCAACCTGGAGAACATCTGCCAGAGAGCACGGCGAACCCGAGGTCGGGGCCCTCCATCCGCTCCTCCTCGGAAAGAATCGGAGCGGAAGTCAGGACCAGATGATTGGGCGACGAAGCGAGCAGGGACAGGGTGGGCCCGGAGTGTCCTGGAGAGTTTCGTTCCAGATTTCGAGGTGAATTTCGAGTGCTTTTTTTTGCCAGGAATGAAGACTGAACAAGAATCCACGCGAAAATCACATCGTTTTTCACTTGCCGTCTCGAGCTTTGCACTGACAGAAATCCACGCACAAAGGTTCACGCACGATGGCACAGCGTCACCTGGCGCCGCGGCTCACGCGGGCAGCCGGCGCGGAACGCCACGCTGGAAAAACGAGGGCGCCCACGCGCGACCTTTGCGCGGGCAGCTCTCACGCCCCAATTGACTACCTACCAGACCACCCCAACCCAACCCGAGGACCCCAGTTTCGGGTTGGGGGGGGTACGGGTTCCACATGTGTTTTTTCAGTGTTCCCCGACCCCCCCCCCAACTGGAAAGGGAGGGCAAATGGAGGCCTTCGGGTTGGGTTGGGGTGGTTTGGCGGGTGGTGACCAATGTTGGAGGGGCAGACAGCGAGGAGGAGGAGGAGGAGGAGGAGGAGGAGGACGAAGACGAAGACGCCTGCCATTACGAAGACGAAGACGACGATGTTGGAGGGGCAGACAGCGGGAACCATGACCAAGACTTGAACGCGGAAAGGTATAGTGCCGAGCATTGGTCGCCGTCGATCTTGGTCGGCGCCACGTCGTGGATCCTCCTCGCGACTCGGCGACGGGCGACGTGGACCATGACCAGGATCGGCATCGACAAGATGCCACGGCATCTTGGTCATGGTCCCCCTACGGCAGGTTCGCGTCGTGCCGACCCCAGCGTTGGTTTTTGATACCGCAGGGATCGTTCAACCTTGAAGGATCGGCCGCTGCCGCAACGTCCGATCGTTCAACATCGATCGGTTCTGGGTCGCCGGCGGCGGTCAACCTTGAACCTACCGTAACCCTGTGCTACCGATATTAACCCCCTGGGGATAATAGAGTTCGGGGCCCCAGTGGAATGATCAACTTCCTGCACCGGCGAGTCGCACGTGGGGTTTTGTAACGAGGAAGGAGGTCATCGTCGTCGTCGCCGCTGTCGTCGCACGAAGCCGACAACGACAGAGAGGACGACAGCTTCCCTCGACATGTCGGTGAAGACGACTCCACCTTTATTCTGCGCCGCTCAGCTTTACTAGTGGATCGGAATCTCGGATCCAGCGTCAGGGCAATCATGTCCCTCCCTCCGCTCCCTCGCCGCCTCTCCCTTCCTCCCCCCTCTCCCTTCCTCCCCCCCCTCCCTCTCCCCCCCCCTCCTCTCCCTCTCTCCTCCCCCCATCGTCCCTCTCCCTTCCCCTCCGCTCTCCAGCTCCCTCCTTCCCCTACCTCTCTCTCCCCTCCTCCCTCTGGGGTATTTCCTCCCCCCTCTGCCTCCCGCCACGCCCCCCCACGAAGATCTCCTTTCAAGGCTCGAGCTCAACAGTGCTTGCCGTGCTCTTGTTGTCGTCGTTTTGTCTCGTTCTGTCTTCGTTCCGCCTGTTGGTGCAAAGCGAAATCAGAACGAAAGCAATCCACGAAATCGCCAAATACACAATTTAGCTCGAGCCCTGCGTCCCAGTATCTAGGGAGCCCACGCAAAACGTACGCGCCCAACCACGCACAAGAATACGCCCCCCCCCCCAGTCCACGAGACCGGCCTCTTGATGCGACCGTTCGCGCAATACGTCCCCTCAAAAACAGCGAACAGTGCGGTCGCGGCCGCAAGAAACCCTCGCAAGAAACCCAACCCTGAAGACCCGCGCGAGGAGGTGCGATTCGGGGGGAGCCCCTGAGCACCCTGAGCGCAGCACCCTCTTCGGCGGCTGCGGGAGGCCACCGCGCACCCCGCGCAGCCCGCGGAGCGAAGACGCCCAGGACGCCCCGACGAGAAGCACATGGCCTCTGGCCGCTGCACGTCCCTCGCTCGCTCCCGGGCATCCTCCTCCCACCTCTTCCCCCCCCCCCCCCCGCGGCGGCGCGCACCAAAGCGAAACAGGGAGGGGCTGCAGGGGCCCAGGGACACACACACACAAATAAATACACACACACGCACGCAAATCACAGGATTCCACATGCTTAATCTTCTGTTCGTGGTCTTCGTCTTCCCCCCCCCCCCGCTTCCCATAGGTTCCAATAGCTTCTGCGATTTAGTTCGGGCACGTCTCTCTACAGGCGGATTCTGGGCGAAAAATGGAAAATACCCACCAAATGCTCCAAAATGATCAACAATACGCAACGACTCGTCCCCAGACTATGTTTTACTATTTTCAAATAGAGGGACAGGCCCGACTTAAGATTATTTGTGTGTGTTATTCCCTCTCCTGAGGTGGCGCGGGCGGGAGGGGGGGGGGGGGCACGCGGCAAGGCCCACGAGAGAAGCCACCCCACCCCTCCTCGGCAACGGGCGCTGGCTTGCCATCGCTGACGCCCGTTCCCCCTGCACTCTTCGGACTCGTGCGTACATTTGTCGGACTCTTCTTCGGACTCGGGCTCATCCCCGGACTCGGACTCTTCGTCGGACTCGGATTCGGCCGGGCGTGTCCTCCTGCAGGGGGATTTTTTGGGCGACAATCAAAAAAACACAACTAATCCAAACATAGTCAAACATACTAAAAAACGTCCCCCGCTGATCTGTTGACTCTGTTTGAATCTGGGACAGGCCCGACTTAACGCCGGCTTGCCATCGCTCGGACGCCCGTTCCCCGAGCACTCTTCGGACTCGTGCGTGCACGTTTCGGACTCTTCTTCTGCGAGGCGGGGATTTATCCATATCCACCGCTTGGGAATCGACGTCCTGGTGCCCCAGCGGGCGGTGGATATGGATATACTGGCCCGAATATGTCCACATCCACCGCCTGCCGAGGCCCCCGAACATTCACCCTCCAGGCGGTGGTCATGTACAAAGTTCCCGCTTCGTACTCCAGCTTTCGTAATAAAGGGAATGGCTCGTCTTGGAGGGTCCAGACCCCCTCCCTTTGATTACGAAATCTGGAGTACCTTCGAACTCGGGCTCCGCTCGCCGTGGCACCCTCCGCGGGGAAGCCGGGCCGCGACCACGCACCCGCCGCAGCCCCGCTGCGCGAGTGCGCCCCCCCGCGCCTGGCCGGCTCCCGCGGCCGCCTCCCCCCTCCCCTCCTCCCCTCCCTGCCTGCTCCCCTCTTCCTCCCCTCCCTGCCTGCTCCCCTCCCTCCCTTCCTCCCCTCCTCCCCTCCTCCTCCTCCTCCCCTCTTCCTCCCCTCCCTGCCTGCTTCTGGGGTGGAAGGGCCGTGAACGTGCACTCTCCTTGGCGCCCGTGCTTTCATGCTCTCGAGTGCTCGTCTGTATGAAGCCAGCTGAGTGCCGTCACCATCTGACCGCTGTCTGTGGCGAATCAGGTCGCAATTCCAAAAAATCCCTGCTTGCTGGCTGGTTCGCGACCCCGCGCCCCGGCGTCGCTCGGACGCGCGGGCGGATTGCCTCTGCCGCGCCGCAAGATGACTCAAAACGCTCCTCGACGGTCCGCGCCGAGGAAAAGAACGCACACGTCTGAGCGATGCCGAGTTGATAGAGAGTGCCCCTGGCCAAGGGTCGGCGGTGAGCGAGGGGGGGAAGTGGAAGGCCGAGGCCTTCTCGGACGGCTGAGAAGTGCTCCGCGACTCCGGAGAGGGCGGATCAACTTCGCAGAGGGCCGGGGGACTTCGAAGCCTTCTGAGAACGCCCGCCCCCTCTCACCTGGCACGTACCCAGAGGCGCAACCGATCCTTCATCCTGAGACAGCACGCGCGAGGGCGGCGCGGGCCTGCCCGTGAAGCTCGTAGGCTTCGGGGGGGGTCGCCAACGTCCTGCCCTGAGCTCGGATGAGGTAGAAGAAGAGCCCGCCCCCTCTCACCTCCCCCACGGGCTCGCCGCCGAAAAGATGCACCCCAGATTTCCAAGGAGGCCCCCACGGCCTCCACAGCACTCCCCACGAGGCCCAGGAGGGGCCCCAGGGTGCCCCGGAGTGGAGCGACGAGTGGGGGGCACCGTGGGCCAGGGGGACACCTTTTGGCAACCCCCGACTGAAGACCAGCCGCCCACACCCACGACCAAGGCAGGGCAGGGAAACATTTGGGTCGGGCATGTCCTCCAACAGGCGGATCTCCGGCGAACCATGAAACACAGTTAAGAGGAAAAAGGGAACATCCCAAATCGTCGACCAAATCGTCCCCAGACTATTTGTTTTGCCTATTTCAATACTCCTCATGTAGAGGGACATGCCCGCCTTAAGGCTCCTCGTCCTGGGCCGCTTTTTTCGGCGGCCCCGTAGCCAGGAGACGGCCTCCTGGGGCCGAAACAAAGTCCAGGACTGGCCGTCGCGATCCTTCTCTGCGTCGCCTGGATCTCCAGGCTGGGCGCGCCGACCACCCCGTGTCCGCGCTTGATGCGCGCTAAACTTTGGAGGGGGGGGGGGCTTTCTGCCAGCATCGTTGATGAGTCTTGGGCTCCTCCTCCTCCTCCTCCCTCCTCTCCTCCTCCTCCTCCTCTCCCTCCTCCTCCCTCCCCTCCTCCTCCTCCTCCTCCTCCTCCTCCTCCTCCTCCTCCTCCTCCTCCTCCTCCTCTTCCTCGTCCTCCACCTCCTCCTCCGTCTCGTCCTCCGTCTCGTCCTCCTCCTCCTCCTCCTCCTCCTCCTCCTCCTCATCCTCCTCCCCCTCCCCCTCCTCCCCCTGCCTTTGCCAATGCAGTGTCAAGGCGGAGTTGCACGCCCTGTCCGAGGAGCTACCAGCGGGGGCGCATCGTCGGGGCGCCGTTTCTGGGGCCTGTGCGCACCCAGGGCCAAAGCGGCTTGAGCCAAATAAGATAGAACAGAGAAGAGAGAAAACAACTAATCCATCATAACTATTGAAAAATAAACGATGGGAAAGGGTCATGGAAAAGCGACACCAGCACCACCAGGGACCACCAGCGGGAGGAGCCAGGGGGGGGTCCCCCTGCTGGTGTGGTCCCCCCTCTCGCTCTGGGCATCCCCTATCCCAAGCTCGAGGAGGCCTCATGGTCCTCCTCGCTGGAGGTGGCCCACCCTGGTGGCGGTGGTGTCGCTTCTCCTTCCCCCGACCGTGTGCGCATCTGCTTTGCCCGCCTCCGAGCGGTCCTGGCGGCACCTCCCAGGGCGAGGACATCGCCTTGCCGTAACCGCCCGCGGCGCGTGCGACGGCCTCCACCTGCGGCGCTGCCCCCCCCCCAAGCAGCGCCTCGCCCTCGGCCCACGGCCGCTGGCTACAGACATCACTGCTACTAAGAAAAGGTCGTCGCAATCGACCGAGATCGGGGATCTGCTGACCCGGGTCAATCCAGACCCGGGTCAGTCAGGCCTTGCAGAATCCTGACAGATCCTGCAAGATCCTGCGCCCAAACCGGGGTCAATGCGAAGGATCCTGCAAGATCCTGCAGAATCCTGCACCCAAACCGGGGTCAATGCGACCCTGGCCCTGCAGGATCCTGCAAGATCGGGCGCTCTGGACGACCCCCGTTTGCGTTGACCCCCGTCTCTTCAGCCCCGACGGGCACGCGCTAACATGGCTCCGGGCCAATCTATGAGGTGCGCCGATGAAGCCCTACGCGCCGCCACGCTGGTCCCTGGCAGGCTGGGCTGCCCGGCGGAGGGGGGAGCAGGAGGGGATTGCGCATCGTGTCGCCCTCCAAGGAGTGAGCATCGCATCGCCGATCCCCACTCCCACTTAAGAAAAGAGAAACCTGCATACATACCCCAAATCCCGTGTGAATCGCCCCCCTCAAAAAACCAGACCCCCCTCCAAACGCGACCTAATGTTCCGGACCCCCCTCTTCGACGGGGCGCCTTAATAAACCGGACCCCCTAATCTCCAATCTAAAGAAAACGCCCTAATAAACCGGACCCCCCGTTACAACAAAAGGCGCCTTAAAAAACCTAACACGGGGACGATTAATAGGGTACACTAACTTTTGGAGCCCAGTGCGGACTTCTTGGGTCAGGCCCTCCCTCCCTGGCGCGCGGAGCGCGCGGGGGGCGGCGCCGGAGGCGCCGCCAGGGTGGCCCAACGTAGATCCAAGAAATCCTCACGGAACGCTAACTGCACAGTCATGCAGTTTTTCCTCAACCAGTAGCATGGCGTTGGCACCACTGGCCGATGTACCCCCCTGGATGGGGATATGCGCTGTTCCCCTCGGGTTTCGCGGAACATGTCCTCACCTTGGGGATTGGGGGCTGGAGGGGCTGAGATACCATGGCCCAGTGGGTATGGGGATCGGTCAGACATGCTGAAGGAGGGCAAAGGGAAAACATACGCCTGGAATCATGGACGATACAGCGCCGCTACATCGGTGACGGGCCCCCAAGAGCCAATCCGAACGTTCCTGGGCGGGGTGGGCTATCTGGCCCCTATCGGCGATGAGTGACCGGTTGGGGGTCGATGCATGCCCCCCTGAGCGTATCGCCCTTAGTGCTGCCCCTGAATCAGGCTGGGCTGTGGTCCTCTGTGAAAGGCAGCGGAGGGCATGCAGAAGGCAGATCGGATGCTGTGTTAGCGGACGGCACCGAATAGTGCACGTTTGTTTTTTCTGCGTTTCGGCATTGGGCGGAAAGGGGGGGGAGGGGGGTCTGGCTCCAGACCTCTGCTTAGTGAGACTGTTTGCAAGAGTGCGACCTCTGGGGGAGACCCCACCCGCTCGAAACAGGCGCCAACAAAACAGCCAAGATCTACTCCATGGGGGGGAGGGAGGGGGGTTGGGGGCCCGCGCCAATCGGCAAAACAATTAATAAAAAACGATCACATAATTCCAATAAGCTGTTCCGCCGTCGGGGACGCCTGCCTTGGGGCGGCTGGGGAGTTTACACCCCTGCGGTGGCGCGTCGGGCTACAAACTTTGCTCGGGCGTTGGCAGAACTGGGTTTAGTGGGATCTGGTCAAATGATAAATGATGTGGACTGGGGGGCGCCCCCCAAGCCCCGTTCCACGAACCGAAACTGCCGTCACCCGAAAAAAACACCAGCTACGGCAGACCTGGTTTAGTCATTCTGGCCCATTTAGGGGCTCCGGGGCCCTACTACTAACCGGGTCCCCTTGCCTGGGGTCCTGGCTTTTCTAGATGTGTAACCCCCTCGGGGGCAGGCGTCCCCGATGCATGAAGAGCTATGTTATTCCGCTCTACGGCTGTCCCTGGCTCAAGGAGTGTGCAGCTGTTCGCTCCACCTCGGAGCCCCACGGGGCCCTCTGGGCCTCGCTGGCGGTGCTCTGGAGGCCCTGGCGCCTTGAGGCCTGCCGGAGGCGTCGAGGCCGGAGGGGTGCTCTTCGAGGCTCCGGGGTCTGGACAATCTTGGGGGCACCTTGGGCCAGGGACCCCTCTGGCAACACCCGAGGAGACGTTGCCGGCGGAAGATCCGCGGGTGCCAGGGAAGTCGGTCGGCTCAGACCCTCCAAGAGGGCCGGCGCTGTTACCAAGCCCAGACACATGCCGCGGATAGATTTCCCGATCTGTGAGCCCACGAGCTCTCAACCCCTCTTCCCCCAAGCTGTGACTTTTATTACGACTCGTTTTCTGATGTTCCGCAGGGCGCCAAACCCGCACCCCGGGGGGGGGGGAACTATTGAAAACGCCAGGGGTGAAACAGAAACAATCACTGGAGGTTTGGGTCCCCCCCTCGGTCTCCTCCTTCCGAAAACCGTCCCTAGACCTGCCCTAAGTGGCTTAGGGGGGGACCCCCCTTTGCGCGAAGCCAAAATCATTGCAATGCCGAAGATTTGTGGTGACGGATGTGTGCCTTTCGGGAGGGCATCCTGGGGAGGCCTTTGGGCCAAGATGGCTCCAAAATAGCACCAGACGGCGCAAGACGGCTCCGTGATGGCGCAAGATGGTCCAAGCTGGCTCAAGATGGCCACCAGCACGTCTCCAGAGGCTCCAAGACGGCCCACAGACTGCTTCAATTGACCTCGGAGCCTCCTACAGATACAGACGAGAGGCCAACGTCACTACAAGTACATGAAACTGTTCAATAACAAGTGTCTCGTGCCGCTTCGCTGCTAATGGGCATCCGAGGCCTGAAGGTGGCTCCACGATCGCCCAAGAGAGCCCCAAGGGGGGCAAGCAACAGCTCTAAGAGAGCCCCAGGAGCGCCGAAGAGCGCACGAATAGCGCCACAAGAGTGCCCCACGAGTGCCACAAGAGGAGATTTGTCGGGCTCCGACGAGGGTAGGCAAATTATTGCCGCCGCCCTGCTTGATCGATGTCCATTGAAATAACCCTAAGAGGGCTCTCAAGGTCTCCAGGGGGGCCCCCAGAGAAACCAAAGAAATCTCCAAGTGAGCCCAAGAGGCCTCCAAAATGGCCCCGAGATGGCCACAACATGGCCCAAATAAACTTCAAAGAGACTCACGTCATTATCGAAAGATCGGCGAGTGCATCTATAGTTGACTCCTGGGTTTGCTCTGGCAGATCCGGACATTCGGCCTGACGGATGTCTCCCTCCTCTTTGCTCCGCTGCTTGCTCCTACACTTCCCTGATCAAAGCAAGCCGCCCGCCTGGGCATCGCTTCTGGATGCGCGCATGGGGAAAATTACGCGGAGCGACAAGAATTTGAATGGGAATCCAGCCGTGGCCACGAGAACCCTCACGGAAGCGCGAAAGGCAACTACAATCAAAACGAATCACCATGTAGATCCTCGTGCTGTATGCAAGAGACGGCTCCTGAAGAACACGCGTCCTGGACTCTGGGACCTTCCCCTCGGACTTGAGTGGCATCGAGAAGGGGAGGGGGGCTGGCATGGGGGGGGGGGGACATCGACCTGAAATCGGCGATACATCGCCGATAGGTCGGCGATATGCCTCTGATAGCCAATCCGAACGGTCCTGGGCGGAGTGGGGCCATCGGGCCCCTATCGGCGATGAATGGGCGATTGGGGGTCGATGCATCCCCCCCTATGCCTATCCCTTCCTGTCGTGCCCAAGGAGCCAGACAACGGCGGAAAACCTCCAGGACACGCTTCTCTGAGGACCCGCTTCCTTCATGTTGGAGGTTTGGAATGACACGTTGGCCGAGCAGATAAGGCGTCGGCCTGCTAAGCCGATGGGGTCTCCCCGCGTGTGTTCGTATCCCGCAGGTGTCGAGTTCCCGGACAAGTAGCGATGCCGTCTCCCGGCTTGCCCGAGCGCGTCTGCGGACTGCCTCTGCCGCGCTGCGGCGTAAGAATGCTGGAGGCTTGGAAGTGGGCACCGACACCAAGACATTGTTTTTTGGGACGTGGGTTGGAGTTCCGCGTTAACTCCCAGGCAGCACAGAACCGAACGAAGGCCCAAGAAAAACGACCAGGCGAGGGCCAGAGGAAAGACACCACGGCGGATAGACAGCGACGGAGCGAGAAGCCGGCCGAGGCCCTCAGGACCCGCGCCCTGCATGCTGGAGACTCGGAACTGGGCAATGACACCAACACAGGGGGCTGCCTCCGCCGGGGCAAGGAGGCCCTAGATTCTGGCAGTGGTGGTACAGCTGGACCTAATTAGGACAGAAGAGCATCCGAGCACCCTTCAAGAACATGAGACCACCCGCTGGCCAAAACACACAGAACATCCGAGGGTATCATCCCAAGGATGCACAAGAATACCCACCAGACACGAAGAACCGTGGGATACCCTCTCCGAACCGACCTCCATATTATACCTCGGTCCGACTGGAATCTCTCGGCCACCAAGAGAGCCCGAACACGACCACCGCCCGCCGAGACCAGCATCGTCATCCCCGGTGTAGGCACACCGCCGGCATCGGTGTTGGTGCCCGCCCCTATAGTTAGGTCGGGCATGTCCTGCCATAGGCGGTTTTTGAACAATTCACGATGTTCGACAACAGTCAAAACATCGCCCCCTGACTATTTGTTGGCCATGTTTGAATCTTCCTCCTGTAGAGGGGCAGGCCCGGCTCAACCCCACCAGGCCTCCGATCGTGGCGAGTCCAAGGGTTCCGCGACCCGCGCTGGCCTGGGCCGCCTTGGCCTTGACGGCCTGCCTCTTCTTCTTCAGCGCCTTCCGGGCCCGCGCCACCGACGCCGAGGGCGCGCGCGACACGGCCTGCGCGGCGGGGCGGGACCCGCCCGCCCGGTCCTCGCCCCCCAGGTGGCGCCGGCGCCCGAGACTGCGTCCGCCGTGCTGGCACGAGGGGCGCCGAGTCAGGAACGGCAGGGGGCACTTTGAGGCCGCGGCGAGCCTCGGCCACGAAGAGGCCCCACGACCCACATCGGCGGAAGGGCCCGACACCAGGAGCCCCTCTGGAGCTGCAGACCACCCCCCCAAGAGTGGTCCGCACGATGCCTCCAGGAGCAGCAGCGGCATGCACACAGGTCTGCGTCGGCGGCTGGGCAGGAGGTGACTGCTCCGGCGGAATGACAACAGAGGGCACGCTATATGCAAATTAAGGCCGCAATGCACGGAGGAAGGAGGAGGAGGAGGAGGAGGAGGAGGAGGAGGAGGAGGAGGAGGAGGAGGAGGAGGAGAGGAGGAGGAGGAGAGAGATGGTGGAGCAAACCCGCGACACGCACGCGTGCACCTTCTGAGGTCCGCGTGGGCTGCGCGATTCGGCTTCTATGGGCAGCCACGCCGCCGCCGGCCTCCCCTCCGGCGCCTCCCTCTCCCGGGGCGCGCGCCCGAGCGAAGGGGGGGGTGCAGCGCCGGCCCGAGAGAGGTCCGCTGGGACCTCCGGAAGCCTGTCTTTCCAGTGCAGCGGCCCGCCCGGGGGGGCGGGGGGAACGGTGGGCGAGGGGCGGGCCTTCGCAGAAGGCTCCGAAGTCCTCCGGCCCCCTGGGGAAGTTCCCGGAGCCTGCCCCGAAGGGCGCAGAAGACTTCTCCGAGGGCGCGGGGGGCTTCTGAGGAGTCCCGCCGCCTTCCGAGGAGGCCCTCTCCTTCTCATTGCCCCCCCTCGCCCGCCGCCGAACAGTGCCAGGAGGCAGGATACACGTGACGTGGCCGGTCTGGGCGGAAGCCGGATGCACGTTCTTCCAAAGGTGTTCTATCTCTCGGCCTTTCTGTGGCCGAGTGGGCCAGGCCTTCGCGAGCCTATCCACCGCGTGGCCACTGGGAATTCCAAACTCTGTGGATCCAGGCATGTGCGCTTCTAGAAGCGCGTTTCTTTATTTTCGGCGATAATGGGCATTATCAGGGGAGCGGGGGGGGGATCGATGGGGGGGAGTGCATAATGCAACGCTTCCCCCCCGCCGTGTGGCACGGCGGCAGTGCCCAGAGCGCACTGAGAGGGGAGGGGCGTTACGTTATGCGGGGGGAAGGGGAGGGCGGGGGGGGCGGGAGCTATAATGCCCATCATGCCCCAGGCAACAAAGAAACACGCTCTGGCTGCCTGGTACCAAACAGTCAGGACGCTGAAATCAGGGACCGTTCTCGGCTCGGGAGGGACTCTACTCTGGCTGTGGGGCCTCTCTGTCGATGTGTGTCGTGGAACCTGCTCTTTGGTCGGGCCTGTTTTTTTCTACAGGCGGATTCTGGAGGACAAATGGAAAGAGCCAACAAATGCGCAACACATGCTCAAACACACTCAAAACATCGTCCGTTCCCATAGCATGACTATATTCTTAAATATCCCTCCAGTAGAGAAACAGGCCCGATTTCAACCTGTTCGTGGCCGCGTGGGTCGTTGATTGGGGGAGCCCGCGGGTGAAAGGTTTTTTGGCCAGGGCAAGACAAGGAACCAATACGGTCTCCAGCAGCGCCTACCCGGACTTGCTCGACAAGTTGGCAAGGACGTAGCAGGAGAGGCAGAGACAGCAAGATACCTAACGCGAAAGACAGAGAGGATAACAGAAGAGGGACAAACAAGCCATAACAAACTAGTTAAAGAAGGTAAAGTAGCCGAAGCAGTGGGAGAGATACAACAATAACCGAACAAAGCAGGGAAGAGGACAACAACACTGGAAAACTTGAAAGGGAAAGACCAGGACGGAAGAACAGAACCAGCGATAACATAATCTGCATTCTTGATGCTTGAAGGAGTTGTTCACCTATTCGGTCGCCTTGCTGAAGCACAGATGTGGCTGAGCATGAATATTCGTTTTGGCGGCCCCGCTCTGGCAGGCTGTCTTCGGAACCTCCACGACATGGATCGCTGCCTCCTGGATCCTGGACCTGAGGACACACGCTTTCCTTCCTTTGCGATTGCTCGACGAGACGGCGCGACGCTGCCGTCCCAATGAGGATGCCGCCCTGTCGGCGACTCCGAAGGGTGTGGTTTGCAAGTGCGGCCTGCCACGGGCATCCCGGGTGGCACCCGGGCGGGGGGGCGGGCGGGGACTCGATATATATATATATATATATATATAGAGTTACACCCGCCGCGCCCCGATGGAGGCCCGACGACGACAGAGTCGTGCTGCCCTCCGGGCCCTCCCGGCGCCCATCGCAAACCACCGCCCGGCGCAACCGCACCCTTGGCAGTCGCTGGCTGCGGCATCGACCTTCGTGCGGCGCGCCGCACGGCCCAGGCGTGAGACCTCCTCGGCGAGGCCGCGGCCGCCTCGGCGCGTCTCGCCTCGAGAGCCGCGCGGCTCGCCCGGCCTTGAGCCGCCGAAGGCCTCCGAGGTCCTCGAGGCACAACACTGGCCCGTGGGCGCATCGAGAGTCTCCCGTCGCGTCCTCCTCCCGCGCAGCAGACTTTCTTGCCAGCGGCCCCGCGGCCAACGGGGCGGCCCTCGGGCAGAGAGCATGGAGAAGCGAAACCACCACCACAAACGGGAGCCACCAGCGGGGGCGTCCCCCTGGTGGGTATGGCCCCCCCTCTCGCTCGAGACATCCCCTATCCCCAGCTCGGGGAGGCACCGTGGACCTCCTCGCTGGAGGTGGCCCAGCCCGGTGGTGGTGGTGTTGTTGTTTCTCCCCTCCCTCCCGACTCGGGATGCCGAAAGAACAACGGCGACAAGAGTTCGACGAAGGCGGCGAGCACAACGTTAGCGGCAGCGGCGGCGACGACGAGGACGACGAGGACGGCGGGGGCGGCGACGAGCAACGAGCGAGGAGCGAAGGTGCCGACGGCGCCAGGATCGTCGTTCGGCGGGTGTATGGACTGAGCGGGGACCGACCATCACAGCACTTGTATAGGCCTGCGGCGGGGTTCTCTTAGAACAACATACTGTTCTAACAACAAAAATATGTTCTTATAACACAACATATTTACACGTGTATACATATATATGTCTGTATATGGAAACAGCTAGAACGATGTGCGTGTATACATGTGTGTATATATATATATACAGAAGCAGGCCACGAAAGGTCATTGAAACAGTACGTGGTGGGCCTATAGGCAAACTGGGACGAATCGACGCTGCTTGACTGGAGGGTCTCGCGGCCTTGCGCTTGACCACGCGCGGCGCAGGCTTCCCCATGGTCGGCCGGGCGGAGGAAGCAATCAAAAAAACGGGCGTTTCGTCTGCGCGGCGCCCGACGGCGGCGGCGGGGTGGCGGCCTGGGCCAAAGCGGCTGAGAGGCGAGGTCCTCCGCCTCCTCCTCCTCCTCCTCCTCCTCCTCCGCCTCCTCCTCCGCCTCCTCCGCCTCCTCCTTTTTTGTTCCTCCTCCTCCTCCTCCACCTCCCCCTCCTCCTCCCCCTCCGTCTCCTCCTCCTCCTCCTCCGTCTCCTCCTCCTCCTCCTCCTCGTCCTCCTCCTCCTCTCCCTCCTCCTCCTCCTCCTCCTCCTCCTCCTCCTCTTCCGCCTCCTCCTCCAGCGGTGGGCACGGGGCGGGGGGCAGGAGGATGCGGGCGAGGCGCGGGGGGCGGAGGGAGGGAATGAGGTGAGGTGATGGAGGGAGGAGGGAGACGGGAGGCCCGCGAAGCGGGGGAGGCGGGGGGGGGAAGCGGGGAGGTGGCGGGGAAGGGAGCAAAGGGGGGGTCAGGAAGGCGATGAGGAAAGGAGGTCTCGACCCCCGCCGGAAGCAACAGCCTCGATACTCTATGTCTTCGACCCTCGGTCCTCCACTGGCGCTTCTCGATCCTCGCCTAGTGGTCAATCCTCGAACCTGGGTCCACGCGCCTCGCGCACACACACACACACACACACACTCACACACACACACACATACACATACACATACACATACACATACACTCACACACACATCGATCCTCGATCCTCGACTCCCCTATTGATCCTCCAACCTCGATCCCCGCCAAAACCTCAATCCACGATGCTCGTCTCCTGGACGATCCTCGAATCTCGATCCTCGATCCTCGCAAAGCCTCGAGCATCGATCCTCGAAATTCGAGCCTCGATCCTCGACCTTCGAACCTCGATCCTTAGTTCTTGATCCTGGAACCTCGACCCTCGAATCATCCCGGCCAACGACCCTCGTCCAAACCTCGACCCTCAAACCTCAAGCCTCGAACCGCTGGCGGGTTGCGGCCCCCGCATGAGGAGTAACTGCCCCCGTTGAGGGAGAACTGCCTGCAACTGAGGGGGAGCTGGCTGCACGAATGATTGAAACTGAATGTACGACTGATTGAAACTGCTTCCAGCTGAGGGGAAACTGAGTGTACGGTCGGAAACTTATGCTGAGCGTGTCTCGGCAGGCAAAGGGCGTGTCGCGCCGCTCCGCGGGGCGGGAGGCCGGGAAAGACTCTGGACGCTGACGCTCGGGAACTGGGACGGTGCCAGGACACGGTCAGCGCACGGCGCCGAAGCGCGGTGGAACAGAACTAGCAGTTCGACGCGCTAAGCAGAAATCCGTGGCCGTAGTTGGGGGAAACTGAATGTCACTGAATAGGGTGGAGAGACGGCGTTTGCCGACGCTGGCCGCGGCCATAACGTGAGGGCTCACATCCTCGCCTGGCCCCCAAGCGACTACGAGGGACAACGTCCTTTTTGACTGTGCGCGCGCAGTCTCATCCTCCTTTTCCTCACCCTCTCCTCCTCCTCCTCCACCTCCTCCTCCTCCTGCTCCTCCTCCTCCGCCTCCTTCTGCGATCCTTTTGCGATCATGCGGTCTCCTGCTCAGCAACAGACAGCGCGCGCGGGAAGAAAGAAGGCTGGGCGCGCCTAGCAGTGATGCCGTAGATGCCGATCGACGGCGACGACGACCAGAGAGGACGACGACGACGACCGACAGACGGGGCGACATCCGCCAGGTTGTGTCAGCAACCTAAAAGGTGCAGGGCCTCGCTTCGACCGAAGTGGGCCCCAGAACTCGGGTCGACCCCCCGCTTCAGCTTCCTCAAGCTGACCACGGCGTCTTTGCTTCTGGGGCCTCCTGAACAAAGCCCCGAAAGAAACTGGGATCTCAGGGCCTCGAAGGCCCCGCACCGTGCGCACCACGCAAGCCTGCCGCCGTCTATATACAAGTTGTGGGCACGGTGGGCCGTCCTCGCAATTGGCGGGAGCCCAGAACACTGCGATTTGCAAATTCCAATCCTACTCCCAGACTCTCCGCACAACACGCAGACATGCTTTCCTTTGGGCCCGGGGCGGTTCAGTCGGTGGCCAAGCGCATCGGGGACGAGCTCGAGGCGGCAAGTTTTTTATACCAAAAAAATCCGCGCACGGACCCGTTCGACATCTGGAAGTCTCAAGGCCAACAAGTGCCTCATCGCCTGGTGAATGAGACACACGCCCTGGGCCACGAGCCGCTCCTGTTCGGCATGCCGCCAACGAACATCAGGGTTGTGGGGTTGCAACGCCGCCCCGAATCGGGCCAACCTGCCAGCTTCTCGGTTCCCCGCCCAGGCCCAAAACCGAACCCCACGGTCCAGGGCGCAGCTCCGAGACAAGTGACCCTTGACCTTACTCACGGTTATGATGTCCATCCCCACACCCCTTGCCTTAGCAAAAATGTCGCACCGTATTTCGGCAAAGGCCACGTTCGCGAGGTCCTGGTCGGGCCCGAGGGCCCACGCGTCAAGGGCCATCTTGCAGTTCGTGATGAACTCGGTTTCTCCTGGGCCCTGCTGCCTAGGGGCCATGCGGAATGCATAGAACTCCCCCCCGCCCGCCCATTGGAGCGGGTGGGTGCGGTGACCGCACTGGGGCCCAACCACGTTTCCCCCTTCGTCCCCGGCAGCGACCCCCCAGCCAGCTCGGTCAAAAATATCGCCGTCGGGGTCCACGGCCGAACCGCCGAAACAGATCTTGCCAGAGTCAAGGGTGCCAGAGGGGGGTGGACCATCCAGACGAACCCAGCATCGACGCGGGGGGTCGGCCAAATCCATCCGGGGCCGGGGAAAAGGGCCCTCGTGGCCCCAGGGTCGCAGTTGCCCCTGGCCCTGCCCAGGGCCAAGAAACCACCGAGGTCCTGATCTTCACGCACGAGCTTGCTGCCGTCGCAGCCGCAGAACCTGTGCTTCGGCGTGCCAGCGAGCGCCACGCACCACCTGCACAACGGGCTGAGGACTCGGCGGCCCCCTCAAACAAAAAACAATGCTGGGTGGCATGACCCCCCCGCGCAACTCCTGCCACCATCGCGGCCTCCATTCCTCGGCCAGACGCTCTGAGAGACTGGGGCTTCTTAACAAACCGGCTGGAGCAAGGGCCCCTCCGGAAGCCATTCAATCTTACTCGCAATGCTGGTGACCAACCCTCTCTGAGTACATTGCTCAATCAGACGCTCGAGGGTCCTCTTGCCCAGGGCGCCAGGATCGACAGGGATTCCACGGCAGGCGCCCCGGCCCCGAAAACCTCGAGCCGCCCAGCCGAGGCGACGATGAGTGCACAACGCAGCACCTGCAGGTCCCGTCACTTGCCCCCAGTCGAATCCAGCAGCGTGGACAATGGCGTCGAAACTCTTCTTCATCTGAGCTGGCGGCGCCCAGCCCCCATGCAGGGCCCAACTCCACATTGAAAGAGGGGCGGCGTTAGCCGCAAAGGTGGGCTCGGCGCTGGGCCCCCCCATCCTAGCTGGAATTCCAGAGTCCTCGGGCGCCCTTTGGGCGTGCCGAACACCGATTGGCCCGGCGCGGATCTGAACTCCTTCAGGCGGGCATCCGCGATGCCGACAACTCCGCCACCATAAGTCGCGGCGGGAAGCCCCCCCGTCTTGACCACGCGAGTGGCCCCTCTGAAAGAGGATCGCAGACCCCTGAAACGTTTCACCCTCTTCTTGAGCGCCGCCAACCTCTTTTTCTAGACTCCCGCGGCCCTCCGACGGTTTTTGAAAGAGAAATCACGCCCCAAGTATTTTGTTGCCGAAATCAGCCGAAACCCCCAGGACTTGACCCGCTTCAAAATGTCGGCCCCGACCGTCCTGTCCGCGGCCATGGCCGAACCCTTGTCCCTGGAGATAACCAGGGAAAGTCCTTGGAGCTGGGAGAGGAGGTACTGCGCGGCAGTTCCCAGACGCCACCCCAGATATTCCACCGCCCCTGCCGCAAAGAGGGCGACGCCGTCAACGATGTTAAAAACTCGGATGCTCGGCCAGTGGGTAATCATGGCGCCGACAGGCGTGAGGGGGATAAGCTTCGTGAGGCTGGTCGCGAAGGCGCGCCCTGCGATGATGCCCTGACCTGCGTTTATGACCCCAGAGAACACCTGGCCCATCTGGAGCAGCTTGGGGGCCTGGTACATGTAGAGCAAAAGCCTGAGCCTAACCAAGGAGAACCCATGTCTCAAGGCCGCATGGGCCAACATTATGTGGAGCACCTTTTCGTAGGCCTGGTCGGCCTTGGTGAGATCGTTCAAGACTGCCCCAGTACCAATCCAGACCAGACTACCAAACTCGGCGGCTTGCGCTTGCTCCCAGACCGCGCGCCCGCAGCTTTTGCCAGCGGCCCCGCAGTGGTAGCCCCGGCCTTGTTTGGCTTCCCGCGCGACCGCTTCCTGCCTGGTGACCTTCCCAAACACCCTGTAGATTCCTAGCAAGAGTCCGATAGGTCGGAAGCCACCGCCAGGTTTAGGGGGGAGCGCCGTGAACATGAGTGCAAGCTGGATTGGATTCGCACCAGTGCCAGATCGCACACAAGGCTTCAAGGCAATCGTCCGAAACTCCGGCCAGGCCCCGTGGGTGAACGGCGTCGGAACCAAGCGCCGCGCGTACAAAACAATAAAAATGAAAATAAACTTGCTCGCGGCGGCGCGCGCCTCTGCTGGGGTGCGCCGAGCAGGCGCCGCGGCGCGCGGGCCACCATTCCTTCGGAGTTCCTGGGTCTTGGCGCCACGGAGTGGGATCGCATCAGGAAGGCATGTCGCCCCCGCTGGTGGGGTCCAAACACCTTCCCAAGCAGCTTGCATCTGGTCCATGAGAGTCCCTGGTCCAGGAGGGGGGGGGGCCAGGCTTCACAGGGGCAGGTTGCCAGCCGGTTGGGGCCTTGCTGTATTTGCGGGCGGCCCCTCCCCCATTACTGACGGCATCCTGGGCCCAATCGCGCCATCTGCTCCCTCGGACACTTTTATGCTTCTGCCCATTGCGCTCGGCCATCTTGCTCGCCTCTCCTCGGAAGTTGGCAAGGCCCTGCTCCGCGCAGGCGAAATGGGCGTCTTCGAACGGCGGCTTCCAGTTCAGCCATTCGCCGTTGCTCCTAAGGCTGCTGGGTCCTTGGAATAACTTACTGACAGTGCGCTGCGACTCGAGAGAACCCCAACTATCTTTGGCCCTCAGGTGGCCAAGTTCATGGAGCCAGGTGGCCACCTTTCGCCATCCCCGAGACACGGGGCACCCCAAGGGGAAAGCTCCCCCTGACGTTCGGAGCGCTGGGGCCCTCTTGAGTCGCTTCGGCTTTCCCCGTCCAAGGTAGGATGAGTTCTCGACCTGGCAGATGCCTCCGGGCTCTTGCTCAAGGGACAGGGTGGGGGCGAGCGAAACAAGCATCTTCAGCCATGTCCAGAATAGCAGAATAGTCTGGTGGCTTAGGCCTGGGCCCCGAGGGGGCCTCAAGGGGAAACGCCGAGGTAGCTGGACAACCCAAACCTGATCGATGCGAGGGTTCCCATGGGGCGAGGCCCCGATCGACCAGCGCGGGCTAGTCGCAGCAACGGCATTCCCCCCTATGCCTCCAAGCGTCGTCGCCGACGCCGCCGGGCAGACAAACTAGTCAGTGGTCTTCCAACGCTTAGCCACCGAGCGACGCGCGGAGACGGACGGGGCGACAATCTGCCCCCGAGCCTCTCCGCCCAGCCAGCTTCTCGCAGGGTGCGAGGCTCGCAGTTCCAGTCTCCTCCCATCAGAAAGGGGAGGCCAAGCGAGTAGAGCATCTCCCCCAACGTGGTGAGGATGAAAGAACCGCCCTCCCCGAGCGGGCCCCCCCCCGGGGAAGGCAGAGGCTGCCGACAATGAACCCTCCTGGCACAAACCTATAGACCCAAGTCTCGATACACCGATGCGGGGAAGGGAAGGGCCTGGGGGCGGGGGGGGGGGATGGCCCATCCCTATATGACTTAGCACCGCTATTCCAACCCCACAAGACAGTCCTCCAGCGTCCGTCGCGATTGACCGGCGCAGGCTCGCCGACCACCCCTCCTTCCTGAGCGCGGCCCCCGCCTCTGCCCTTCCGAGCGGCTTGAGGGTCAGCTCTTGGAGGCGCACTATCGACGCCTCCGTCTCCGCTTGCAGATGTCGCCCCAGTGAACCGAGCGCGGGGCCTCGACACGGAGCGAACTGCTCTCGCCCCCCTGCCTCGCCGCCTCTGGGGGCTGGGACGGGGCGCCAGGCCGGGCAATGGCGGAGAGCTGACGCTCTAACTTAAATTGTGCGCTGGGTTCGCTGCGGCCCAGTCCGCCCGCGAGAAGCGGCGCGTCAACTTTGGGGCTAAAAAATTGCCCCCCTGGCTTCTTGAGGTTCCTGCCGCGGAGCCGAGCCCTGCGCGCTGCGACGAGGGGCGGGCTTTCAGGGCCCCAAGCCGACGGACCTTGGGACCCAGGAGTGCTAAAAATTATTCTGGCGGGGGTGTCGCAAGTTCGGCCAATTTTCGCTCGCCCCGAGCTCGCTGCTGCTCGGAGCGCCACAGAGAGTCGCGCGTCTGCCGCGCTGCGGGCGGAAAAATGCCCACCCAGGAGCCGCGCCCGACAGCGCGCGACGCGGGGCGCGCCTGGGCCCCCTGGGTCCGCTCGCAAAAAGAGATCGACAGGTGCCGCCCGGCTCAGCCGACATCGTTCTCTTTCCTCAGCTCTGCCCCCCCGTGGCCGAGCACCCTCTGGGATCGCAATCGCAGGGGGGGCGGGTGCAGAGGCGCCCGCGGCCATCGCAGCCGCGTGGTCGTCGCCACGTATGCCGTCGACGCCGCCATCCTCGAAGAAGTAGAGCAGGTCGTCAAAGCACATGTAGAAGCCGCCCCCCCCCCCCCCGTCGACATCCTCGAAGTCCAGGCCGTCGGACTCCGTCGTGGTCCACGGGGGGGTGTCAATCCTTGCCGTCGACTGCGCTTGCCCCACCTGGCTGCGTGCCCTTGCTGCCGAGGGCTCGCGCTGATCGCGCGCGTGCGTTGGCCACGAATGGGGCCTTGGGCTTGGCGGCGCCCGCCCTGGCCTCGGGCCCTCCTTGCGACGCCCCCGATGAGGCATCCTGCTCTTCACGTGGTCCACCAAGTGCTTCAGGTAAGGAGGCTTTGGCCGCATCGCGGTCGCGAGGCTGCTCTGCGGCCGCTGCCGCGGGGGGCGCCTGGCGGGCCACAGCCCCAGCCGCGGCCTCTGCGGGCTGTTCACGTCGCACTCGCTTGCGTCCAAGCCGTAGTACACGTGCTCGGCTTTGATGCTCAACCTTGTCCACCGCTGACTGGAAAAAAGGCCCTTCGTAGCTGCTTGCATATGATGCCGAAGCTGTTCCTTTCGAGACTCCATCTCGCGCGGGCCACCAGGCCCGAGCTCCAGCTCCTCGCCAATCTTGAAGAAACTCTCGAAGTCAATGAGGCGAGTGGCGTCTTTGCTGCCGTCCACCACTTCAGCGAAGGGCACTTTGGTCGCCGTGACCTCCCCGGCTGCGGCCTTATCCTCGCCCTTGGCCACCGTCCCCGCGAGCTCCGACACAATATTGGCGTGCTCGGTTTCTGCTTCTTGGAGTGTGGCCTCGAGCTTCTGGACGCACGACATCTGGATGGCCACCTAGCCTTGGCACTGCTCCAGCTTGTCCACCTCGGACCCGAGCATCTCCTCGAGCTTCTGGATCCTCTCGTGGCAGCGCTGTGCAAGTTCCTGGGCCGAGAGGTCAGGTCCCCGTCGTAGTTCGTCAAGGTGCGTTTTGTATTTGGTTGCCGTAGCCACATCGCCCATCCGCTCGGCCATGTGGATGAAGGATTCGATATCCTTTTGATGTGGGTCCTGCACCGCCAGGAGCGCGACCGCTCGGCCCGACCAGCGGAAGGGGCGGGACCCCACTTCCCTGGGCCGAGAGTGCTCTGCGGGCGGCCCCATCTAGACCCCTTTGCGGTCATAGTTGCCAACATCGGGAAGAGCAAGAGTCGTAACAACAGTAGGAGCTTCCGTTCTCCATTCCTGGCAGTGCATGCAGTGGGTGAGCGAGGCGAGGTTCTGGTTACACCCGCAGAGAGCGCACTGCCATCGCTTCCCTGGGTCCTCGACTCCTGGCCCAGGCTCGCGCGGCCGAGATCCCGTGCGAGGCGTTCGTGGCGGGCCCTGTTGGCCTCGCCTTTTTTTGCGCCCGCGTCCTCGTCCGCCTTTACCATCTTGCCCACTGCCGTTCTCTCCCCACGCTTCTTCCTGTCGCCAAGGGAAGCTCCGCCAATCCATTGCCGAAGAGGAAGAATGATTGCACAACTCTTCTGGTGCCGTCCAAAGACGGAACACCCACAGTACACGGAAGTATGGATATGGAAGGGCGCGCACGCGCCAGACTTATATATAAGCGGGGGCCCCTGTCCAGGGGCGTTTCCAGGGCCCCTCAAGGAAGTGGTCACACTGGACCAACCTTGAGAAATGGATGGCTTGAGCCAAAATGGCTACGGACTCCTCCTCCGCCTCCTCCTCCTCGTCCTCCCTCCTCCCTCCCTCCTCCTCCGCCTCCTCCTCATCCTCCTCCTCCCCCTCACCTCCTCCTCCTCCTCGTCCTCCTCCTCCTCCTCCTCCTCCTCCTTCACCCTCCTGATCTAGAGGCACCATCATTTCGGAAACCCGCGGGCGGGGACTTTCTGAGGTGGGCGATGGACCCCCCTCTCTCACACCTCCGGCGGCGGCCCAAAAATCATCCCCTTGCGGGGGCTCTGATTTGGTGACCACCCGAGGAAATCGGCACGGGCCACAAGAAGCTTGGTCTGGTCTTCGGTTCTCGTGCCCCAGGACCTTCAACGCACCGACCTACTGAAAACAAAATTAAATATGCTTGCTCGCAATGTTCGGCCTCTGGGTGCCCTCGCCAGGCAGCGGGACCCTCAAGGACAGAACAGGAAATGAGGAACGGGCCCCGGGGGGAAGCGGGCCGTGATCTCCGGGAGCCCGGCGCTGGAAAGAGAAACAGCACCTCGGACCTATGGGCCCACTGCCCCATAGCAGGGGGCGCGGACACCTTGTCGTTGGGCCTCGGCCTCTGGCGCGCAGTGCTTCTCTGGACCAGGCTCCGCTCTGCCGCAGGACGCATGGGGTCGGCACAGAGGCAAGCGAGTAGGGTTATGTTGCTCCCATCGTACTTCAGGACCACGTCCCAGAAATAATTTCGAGCACCCGAAACAGTGTCGAAACAGTGTCGAAACAGTGTCGAACGAGTCTCCCTGGGCCCGACACGTGAGAACCCTCGAGTTCCGGTTCTTTTCTGGTGCTCGAAACTCTTCCTGGTGACCCAGGCTGAACTAGGGAGGAACATCAGAAGGTTAACGCTGTTTCGGAACGCCCGCGCGTCTCGTGCGCTCGACCCGGCTCCGCCGACGCGCTGGAGGGAGTCGGAGCCCCAGGCTGGACAGGGGCGACGGAGTTGGGCGGTACGGGTGGGGCTGGGGAGCGGCGAGAGGACAGCGCCTCTACCCCCCCCCCCCCCCCCCCCTCCCTCCTCCCTCCCTCCTCCTCCTCTCCTCCTCCTCCTCCTCCTCCTCCTCGTCCTCGTCCTCGTCCTCCTCCTCCTCCTCCTCCACATTATCCTCCTCATCCTCCTCCTCGTCCTCCTCCTCATCCTCCTCCTCCTCCTCCTCCTCCTCGTCCTCGTCCTCGTCCTCGTCCTCGTCCTCGTCCTCGTCCTCGTCCTCGTCCTCCTCCTCCTCCTCCTCCTCCTCCTGCTCCTCCTTCTCATCCTCCACATTATCCTCCTCATCCTCCTCCTCGTCCTCCTCCTCCTCCTCATCCTCATCCTCCTCCTCGCCCGCATCCTTCCCCGACGCCGCGGCCGCCACCGCCTACACCGACGGCGAAGCCTGGCGTCACGACGACGACGATGACGTCAACGACGACGACGACGACGACGATGATGGCGGCGGCGGCGGCGACAAAGCCCGGCGATGACGCCGGGCGACAACGAAGGCGACCACGACGACGACAACGACGACGACGACAACGACGACGATGATGGCGGCGGCGGCGACAAATCCTGGCGATGACGGCGGGCGACGACGACGGCGACGACGACGACGACGACGACGACGACGACGACTGCGGCGGCGGCGGGGGGCGGCAGCGGCGGCGGCGGAGGGAGGCACGCAGGCAAGCGGGGGGGGCGCCTCCTCGCATCGAGCGGTCCGAGATCCGGGGCATGAGCCTCTGCCGGATGTAGGCCTCGTGCCGCAGGTTGCGCATCCTCACTTCCTGGCGGAGGGCGGGGGAAGTGGGGAGCGCGGGGGCCTCCTCCTCCCGGACCACCTTTCAGCGACTCCATAGGGGGTGGTTTGCAAAGGGTGTGGTTTGCAACCGGCACCATAGGAAACCTCCTGGGTGGGTGGGCGCGCGGGGGCCTCGATACCCTATACGACCACCCTGCGGGTGATAAGGAGGTTGGGGGGGGGAGGGCAGCAATGGGCGAAAGTAGTGATTTCGGGACACCAGCGGGACACCGCGGGCCACCGGCTGCTAGAGGAGAAACATTTGGTCCGGCCGCGGCCCAGCCACAGGAGGATTTCGGGACACCAGCGGGACACCGCGGGCCACCGGCTGCCGGAGGAGGTACATTTGGTCCGCCCGCGGCCCAGCCACAGGGTGATTTCCTCTCGCCCGCCCACGCAGCTTCGCCTCGCCCGCACGCACGCGCGACACGAACCCGAAACCGAAATCGATTTCCCGGTAGGGGGGGTCTCCGTCTCACGTCGCACGCGACCCCCCACCTCCGAGAATTCTCCCGCGCCCCGAGGAGGCCCGAAGAGGACGGTGTCGTATAACCCCCCAGGCCCCCACGGTGCAGATCGCACGCCACACCCCGGCGTAACCACACCCTTTGTAGTCGCCGAGGCGGGGAGCGCGGGGGCCTCCTCCCCAGACCCCCCTGGGTCAGGAAGAAGACGCGACGGAGGGCCTTCTGCTGATCCTGGCTCTCGGGGCTGGGGCCCCCCGCTGGGCCCCACGGATCCCGCGCCAGGCGGCACAGCGACCTTACGCTCAGGTCGGGCGTGTCCTCCTAGAGGCGGAGGCTGGACGACAGTAAAAAAATAGGCCCCCCCAAAATACCCAAGAATGCCTACAGGCAGTCAGAAAATCGTCCCCGGACTGTTTTCTGACTATCCTGGAACGCTCCTCCTGTGGAGGGACACGCCCGACTTGCAAATCTTGCGCGAGATGGCACGGCGACCTCACGCGGCGGCCTGCACGGGGCCGCCCGCGCGGCTCGCCGCCCCGGAGAAGCGAGCCCGCGTCGACGCACGACACCCGGCGCGGGCAGCTCGCGCGCCGGGTGTCGGTGAGGACGGCCCCGTTATGGAACGTCGCTCACGCCACGAATGACGAGCGAACGACCCCAGACACGATCGCGTCGTGACAGAATCACGACGGGCAATGTTTGATCATTCTCGGGCCCCGGGGGTCCTCGCCGGGCCTCGGGAGCGTCAAAAAACGACTCAGGATGAAAAGTCGGTCCTGGGGAAAGGGTCCGGACTTCTGGGGACGCCGTCCTGAAAAAAAACAAGACGTCCAACGTCTGGGCACACACGCATACCCGTAGGGGGGTCGTTGGGAGGAGGACTGGCTATGGGCATGGGTGCGGGTTGTCGGGCGCTGGGGAGCGCTCCCCTTCGAGCGGGGACCCCCATCGGACAACACGCGCACATAGCCCTCTCCGACCCCCCTGAGGGTATGTGTGTGCGTTGTTGGTTCGTCAATTAAAGAAACATCGCGCTGGGGATCTGGATCTTGGCCCCCCAGGCCTCTGGGCGTCGCGCAGAGAGAGCTCACGGCGGGAGGCCCCGCCGCTCCCACCGCACGCTTCCATAAAACAAAACAAAACAAAAACTGGCTCACCGCGTGCACGTCGAGGCCGTGCACAGTCATCGGCCTGACCTAAGGAACGATGAATAAGGAACGACGCCCCTTCTTTCCAAGGCATGACGCATAAGGAACGAAAACTAACACAGAACGCATAAGGAGCGGTAATAACACATGTAAGCCTAAGTGTTCCTGATTCGAGGCGCTCACTGTGAAACTCTTCCTGGCTGACTGGCCCAGCAACGCGCCGGACAGCGGCCCGCCACGCCAAAAGTCGTGGCAAGGTTGGTCTCCCTTTCGCGGAAGGCCACGGAGGGAGGAAAAGGGAAGAAGAACAATCACCAAGAGTTTCTTTGGTCGGGGGCGGCCAAGAAGGGGGTGCCCAAGAGGGGGGTGCAAATCATGGCCGGCGGCATGTGCGCGGACCAGGGCGGGGGCCAGGGACATAATGAAAGAAGAAGAGACGCCATGAAATCTAGGGAAACATCATGGCCCACGCTATGATATCCCCCCCCTAGTCGTCACCCCCTTCTCTGCCGCCCCCGAGAAAAGGGAGGGAGAAGAATCACCAAGGGTTTTTTTGCAAGCGTGGGCGCCTGGGCTCCCAACAGGCCCCGGGACCGCTGAGGAACGACTCGGGTTTACTATCCGGTCCCCAGAGAGTTTCTGGAGTCCCGAAACGGTGCGGTGACAGACCGTGCGGTGACCTCGAAATCCCCCAAGACCTCACCGCACGGACCGTCAACGCACGGTTTTGGGGCCTCGGATCCCCCAGTCGCCCGAGGCGTCCTCGGAGAGCGACCCGAGTCCCAAAACCGTGCGGTGACCCCGAATCCCCGCCGACCCACCGCACGGTGTGGCCACCACCCCGCTTGGGGGCCCCCGAGTCGTCGAGGGGTCCAGGGGCCCCGCGCCGGGGAGAGCACGGCGCCGGAGGCCGTGGCCGCCCCTCGCGCCCAAAGGCACGGCGGAAGGCTCTTGGCCGCCGCTTCGGCCTCCACAGGGGCGAGGGGGCAAGCGAGAGGGGGGGGGGCCAGCTCGGGGTGGGGGGAGAGTGTGCTGGAATGCGCTGGAAGGTGCACGCACGTGCTGATCACCCTGACCTTCCAGGAAGGCCGAAAAAAAAAACACCACTAGGGCCCCGGCATCTTCTTGCCAGTCGAGGTTTCAGGCAGTCCAAGTAACTCTATAGGTCGGGGGGGTGTTTTTTAGTACGCTGGAAGGTCAGGGTAGTCAGAGGAGGAGGAGGAGGAGGAGGAGGAGGAGGAGGAGGAGGAGGAGGAGGAGGAGGAGGAGGAGGAGGAGGAGGAGGAGGAGGAGGAGGAGGATTAGGGGGTGAAGGGGGAGAGAGGGAGGGAGGGAGGGAGGGAAGGAGGAAGGAGGAGGAGGAGGAGGGGGGAAGAAAAAGGAGGAGGATGGAGGAGGAGCGCGCCAGAGCCGAGAGGCGGCTGGTTAGGGAGAGAGCGCTGCTAGCCCCAACCAACCCCCCTCAGCGCACGGTGGACCCCAACGCCCCGACAGGGGACGGAAAAGGGGCCGACCACGCGCCGAGGAGGAGGGCCAAGGCTAGGAACGCCAGTAACGGCAGCGGCCGCGGGCGCGGGGCGAAACGGCCCCACGAAGACACCGAACTCCTCGAAGACGGCGAACGGCACCAGATTGTGCCACGCCCAGGACCGCGAGACGCTTTCCCCTGGGCGAAGGGCTCCCTGGAAAAGGCGCTCTCCCCCGTGGTTGAGGTACTTAAAGACGACGACACCCCAGCAAATATGGTTCCCAGACAAAACACCGTGCCAGGGCAGAAACATATTCGGAGCGGCAAAGCTACGACTCCTCATCACCGAAAACATCGTCATTTGCATTGTCGTTCCGCGGTTCCCCAATAGCCGCAAGGGTATCCAGATCAAGACCGTAGTCTTTCAGAAGCACGGACGTGTCCAGGGCCCGCTGGGCCTCTGTTTTGGCCTTCCTCCTGATGCTCTGGAAAACAACCGCCGACAGAGGGTCCTGCCAGCCCTTGGCCCTGCAGAGGACCAACCGAACGAGCTCCGAAGGCCTCCTAGACGATTCAAGCTTCAGATGTTTCTTCACCGACCGGGGGTAGCGAAGATTCTCAAAGCGCCTTAATGTTTCATTCGCCCGCCCTTTCGATCGGTGCCTGCCACAACAGGTAGCATCCAGGCCGTGGTGATTGATACTTCCAGCGTCAGCGAGCATGCAACAATAGGTACATAGCACCAGCGAATAACCCTTCCCAACCACCGGGTATTCCAGCAACGCATGACCATTGATGAACCACGGCCACGGCAAATTCTGCCCCCTGGACGCCGCATCCTGATCGGCCGTGACCGCGCTTCCCTCCTCGGGCTCGGGGAAGAGATAGTCGCGGCAGCCTTCGTCCAGGTCATAGAACATGACCTCGGACTGGGCAAGGTAGCGAAGCAGCTCAGCATGGAACTTGTGCGCTCATCTGGATAGCCTCACATGCAGCTCAGGGGCTCGATGCCGAGTGGCTCCAGTTCTCGCGAGCTCGTCCGCCTGCTGAATGCCGCCCCTGTCAAACGCCGAGACGAGCCCTTCCCTGACATCATTCATCGTCGTGTAAGCCTTGGTGTGCGGCACCGCGGCCCTCTGAAACGCCGTGGACATCGCGGTGCTCGACCAGAGATGGGCTCGGCGATGGCAACATAACGCCGTTTCTCTGCAATCGGATTTGAGCGCGTGAGATCCATGGGCCAACTGGCTGGCCATCATGATCGCATAGTCCCCGCCGTCACGAGCAACCTGGGTCGGCCCCTCCTGCCTCGGCACAGCACCGTGAAATCGACCCACGCACTGCCCCTCTGCATTAAATACCAGCACCGCCCATCCAATCGAGCGGAGCTCGGGATATTGAACGTCAAACGCGCTTCCGTCCACAAAACGGTGCCTGATTCAACCAGCACTTCGCAAGCATTGTCCCGGCCCACAAAATCTCTGTCACTGGGTCGCCCCCCTCCGCCAAAGGCCTGGCCGAAGTGTGGCAGCAGCCCTCTAGCAAAACGCGCCTGTCTGTCCTCTGTCTCCAGCATCAGGCGTTGGGCCGCCTGCTGAATCATGGGAATGATAAGCGTCTGTCGTCGTGCAGCGAAAGCATCGCAGACAAAGGATGGAGGGATGGAGGGGCGTGCCAGGGCTCGAACGGAACCGAACGCACATCGGCGACTCGCCAGCAAAAGCGCGAGCCACCCTAGTCTGTGCCCAGCGCCCTCCTGCGATCGCGCCTCGGAGGGATCGCCGCGGGCGGGGGCGAGGGCTTCTTTCCCTGGAGGGTCGAGCGGATGGCCCCCCAGGCAATCTGCCCTGTCCCCGTGGAGCCCGCGCCTTGTAGCAAGCTGAGCGCACCCCTTGTCTATCTG